CATTGTGACAGGCTTTTTCATTATTTCATTTAGATTTTGCAGACGCTAAAAGAACGGCTTTCAATAGCTCGGTCATCCAGAAGCTGTGTGATCACTTTTTGACTGCTTAATTAAGCATGTAAAATACAGATGTATATAAATTTGAATAGAAATTAAACTCAAACAGACTGCTTTCTAAAAAGACAAAGTGCCGTGCTTGTCCTCTGCTGATAGCAGGCTGAGATAGTTGTGTTATTTCCTGTTTTCAACTTCAGCATGTTCATTTTGCATGCAGCCAGAAAGTTACTGATCCTCTATTCGACTTGGGAGACGGCAAGAGCAAAATTTATCTACTGAATGAGGCCCAATGTGTACACCCACATGCTCTGCATCACCTCTCCTCCTGCGTGTCTCTGTGTTTCTGCCTCGCACCGAGCTCTCTGAACAGACTGGCTGATTAAAGCTGCCAAGACAGAAGATGGCCTTCACTGCTGACAAAGCACAGACACAGTTTTGGATCCAGAAAAAGAAGCTGACTCTCCCCTTAGGGGTCCTCTCATCATCTCCCCAGGAGATCCAGTGTGTGTGACATCCATCTGTGATAATAAGTGCTTTGTGCATCGTCTCAGTGATATTATTGCCTTTTGCTGTCTGGCCCTCTGTGTCAGGTGTCTGTCTCTCTGTGGGCCTGTTGGCCTGCAGGGAGGTGAACAGGGACGCTGCTGCTCATGTCTGTGAGCCACCAGGACCATTTTTAAAAAAGGAATTCCATGAAGATCAAATTTAACACCCCTGGTCAATAATTATTTTGTATTTTTTGTATGATTGTCAAGAATGTATAACTGTCTTTACATACATATCTTGTGGGCATATAGGCATTACTTATTGTATATCTTCAGCATCCATATTAAAGCAAAAGACTCAGTGTGCTGCTATTCTGGACTCATTAGACAATTCTCCTGTGCCACAATAAACTGGATATCAACAAATTAAATAATAGTTTGTGCATGACAGCAAAAAATGCAATAAGAAGTAGTACAGATATGACAGGAAAGATCAGAAAGTTGTTTCAAAAAATAATATAAAAACATCAACTGGAAAATTGAAAAATGGATAAAACAAACAAAAGCAAAAGAACGAACAAAATAAACAGAGCAATGCAGCACCAATCAGCCAAAACAACATTTAAAAAATGAAACAATTATTTACACATTAAGATTCACCATGAATCATATCATGTATAATTCATGAAGGGAAATGTGGCCAGACTGTCTGGTATTGTTAGAATGAATTTGTGGCTTGAGATCGAGGAAATTACTGAAATATGATGATAGAGATAGTGGCAAGGACACATGTTTATATCTGTGACATTAATGTTTGTTTTTTGTTATGTTCCTGATTCACAGATGGGGAGTAGAGCTACAAAAACAAGACGCATGACCACAGTTAAACTTTATTTAAACACACATTCTACTTCAAAGTTGCACCACTCAAGCATTTGGGACATTATTATCAGGGAGCACTCTGTCATTCATTCATTCACTCATTATCCAGATGGACCACAAGTTGGTTTCTCTTATCTTAAGCCTGCCATGTCATCCTCTGGAGTACATCAAAGCAGGTTCATTTTCCAAATTGTCTGAACTAGCGAGCAGTTTTTGCCGACACTGAGGGAGACCAAAGAGACAACAGTGAGACAGCTTCCACCGTGCAAAACTTTTAATTGTCAAACTTTAATTGGGACCACGAGCTTGACAGTTAAAAGTTTTACACTGAGACTGTGTTCAGAAACTCTTCTCTCTTGAGCTTATAGATGTCAAACTATTGCCCAGCAGAAATGAAACTCTTTTGTGAACACAAGGGGGCGCACTGACTCTACTGAAGTAAACTTGACCCCGGCAACTTCTCAGTGTGACATGAGCTGTCTCTGGGTCAGTGTTATTCAATTTACGATATCAAGGGCTTGATACTTCCTTTTCTCATGGTGCTACAGTGTCTATGTTTACCTGACTGTTTGGTAGGCCGAGTCATTTCAACCAGATCCTGTTATCATTAATGTGTTGACACAAGTGCACTAATAAGCGCTTTTCCTCTAATTGGACCATGACATGATGGGAAAATACCACAGCCATGATATGATCCATCAGCACCTCCAACCACAAAATTCCCACAGTGCAGACCAGCCCTGAATTATAAAAATACATCCTCACAGTGATCAGTCTGGTATGGTATGAAGGACCCTGCACGTTGTTCCCTTATAATGAAAAAAGCCCCACAGTAACTCTGTAAACACAGACAGATGTAGTTAATTGGTATGGAGAACATCATAGGGGTGAAGTCAGGTAATTTAAGGTACTTTTTGGTAGATTGCTAAGAAAACCACCTAGAATTCTGACGACTACCTTAAGTGTTACTTGTCATGGCCCTCTGTGATATTTCTATGAAGAAAATATGATGTAAAGTGAAATACTTAAAAAATGTTGGACCCTAAAACACTCTAAGAGGTTTTCAGGTAAAATGTCTGTTTTTTAATGGTTAAATATATTTATTACTTCAGTCAATTAATTCAGTGTAACCCAACTATTCATTAAAAAAGGTCATCCAACTTTTCTGCCATGCTTTTCCTGTTCTTCCTGTTCTTGTTCATACATGTGTGTAACAATGATGGCTGATTCTGGACTAGTGTGGCTCACATGGACTCACTGCATCATCTTTAATAGTTTTTAAGTGACAAAAATATGATGTGATGGGGTGGCATATGGCATAATAACTTATGATGTAGCTTTAAAACATGCTGGTTTCAGCTCAGAAAAATGTCCCATTTTACCTGAATGCATTAAGCACTCGCTCAAAACCCTTTCCCATGAAAAGCCAAGTGTATTGTGAGAATATTTTAATTGTAGGTCAAAAAGGTAATGAAATGTAACATCTTACAACCATTTTTGGTGTATACCTTTATTGCTTCAGGTGTAGTAGGCAAAAAATGAGAAAATCAACATGCCACATGGCTGTCCTGGCAACTTCTGGGACCAGTGGTTTTCTGACTTTGCTTTGTCCATCATAGTTATCTCAGACAAATACAAACGATTGTTTCGTGTAAAGCACATTTCTAACAACAATGCAACACTATGTTCAGTGAGGGCAGCTAATATTTGAAGTGCCAAAAAACCTCATTTGTCCCATTTTACCTGATGTCCCAAATTAGCTAACTTCACCCTAAAGACACTGTAAAATATTAAATAGCCAAATAGAACTCTAACTGATGTGTTTATGAGAATGTTTAAATACATGAACAGGGTAAAATAAGCAGCTATGAGGTTACTGAAGGTCCCAAACTGGGGCTCAGGACCCAGTCAAGTGGTCACTAGATAAATCCGGCAGGTCAGGAGATGGTAAAAAGTAATGCAGGACAGACATATTTGGCTTTTCCCCCCACTGTCTTTTTATCTTATTTTGTCCCCCTATGAATTGATGGATAATATTCCAGTTTTTAGATTTTTCAAAAGTATTCAAATAAGATGACGGAAGAAATAAAAAATCTACTTTTGGCTGCACTGGTCACATCATGTAAACGTTATGCACACTGATGAGGAGGCATGAGAAGACACTGCTCATCTTATGGAGTCACACCTTTATGACATTCATGATAAACTTATAGTTGTTTTCAGCCTTGAACAACTAACATGCTAGTGGATAGGAAACATATATGTATATATATATATATATATATATATACATATATATATTATTGGTCAGTAAATATGATAAATAATATGTAAATAAATTTAAAATTGGTTTTAAAAAATCATATTGATGTGAAGCCACCTCTATATTCTTAAAACACAGTAAAACAGAGGCCAATACCACATTAAAATTTACACGGCAATAACTGTAATTGCTACAGTGGTGAAAACAAGTATATTCAGTGACACACAAGGTCATCAAACAGATTGCCAGAAGGTCGCTGTACTGAAGAGTCACTGCACACAGCCAACACAAACCAGGTCACCAAAGTGCATGTAAACTCACTGGCTATATACCATAACAGAAAATATTTCCTCATCAGTGATAGAAACCTAAAATATAGTTATGGTAGTTAGCCCAAATTTGTCTCTCATTACATTCAATGTGTTTCTCAGCAGTGTAAAGTTACTAAATGCAGTGACTCAAGTACTTTACTTGAGTACAATCTTGGCACTTATACTTAACTTGAGTATTTACATGTATACGACTTTAAATTTTCTGCTCTGCCATATTTCAGAAGCAATTTTTAACCTAGCTATGGTTTTCAGATTAAAATTTCTAATACAGAATAAATCAGTTTTTTTTAAATTATCACATACTGTTATTGAATAACCACCCAAACGCATATAATATAAAGCAGTAAAAGAAATTGCTCCACTTGAATGAGCATAAGCACTGCTTTCATGTTCATGGATACATTATATCATAGGCTATTATAATACTGACAGGGGTCATCCTGCCTGAGGAATACTTTTACTTTTGTTACTTTAAGTACACTGCATTTTGCTAATAAAATATGTACTTTCTTGAAAATTTTATGAATAATTTAATATTTTTATAATGTTGTTTTTGTTACTTTTACTTAAGAAAATCATCTCATGAAGGCTTTTATCATGTATTTCCATTACATACAATAATACATCATGAAAAACATCAGAGGGATAAACTGAGGCCACTATGGCTCTCAGGGCAGGTATCCATATCCAGACACTATCAGGTGTTAAGCCCAACACTTGAGCTAAAACAAACATGTTTTTGCTTCCTTTGTTTTTTGAAGGCTAAAAGATAAAACACCCTGCTGACCATTAAAAGTTAAACAATTGAACTGACTTTAGCTGAGTTATTTGACTGTCCATATGGAAGTGATTTGACAAACCCTGTGAGGATGTGAAGGTGTCCAGTTCACCCACAGTGTGACAGAAAAGCAAGTCACGACCCCTTTTTTCCCCTGCTGCTCAGAAGTGTGTGTGAAGTCAGCCGTCTGTCTGGCACAGATGTGTGTTGATGTGCTTCCAGCTGTTTGTGGGGATTCATGATGTCTGGACTTACGGTCTGGTCTGGACTGGACTAGAGGATCCTCCCTACAGCCTGTGAGATCATCTCACTTTTAATTAGACCGGATTTGCCAATTAACGGGAAGTCAGCCGGTCCCTCTCAGCCTTTTAAAAGCAGCCGAGTCCAAACGTCCGGCGGAATTCTGACAGAGGCTCAAACAAGGTGGGTGAGGATTTTCAGAATGACTGACTGACTGACTGAATGCACTCTGATTTATTTATTCATTGTGTGTCTCATGCTTGGTTTCAGATGAGCAGAAGGATGTCTTCCACTGTACTTTGTGCTGTTATTTTGCTGGCCTGTGTCTTGACATTAAGTGCTGCTCAGGGTGAGTACCACTTGTGTGACATTTGTTTTGCACTGAGAAATATTTACATTGAAATGTAATATTTTGTATTCTGATTGCCAGGAATGTGTTTTTAAATGTAAGGCTTTCCTGGAGTGTATTGTGTGTTTTCTGTTCTTGTACTCGTTCATATTTACTCTGTTGACAATTATTTACCAGAAGGGGAACGCATGTCTATATACATGGTACTACTTTAGAAATCAATTCCTGGCACAGTTTTATGATTAACACACTATGGCCTCAAGTAGTCGATGTTATTTGACAGACAGTGATTCAACTTTTAAAGGCACAGATAGCATCATGCCCCGCTCTGACTTCTTCTTTTTGTTTTCATGTGCTCTTTCTCACAAACAGCGAGCTGTAAAGGTCGATGCGGTGCTGAGTACTACAGGGGTAACACATGCCAGTGTGATTACAGCTGCCTGTCTTATGGAGAGTGCTGCAGAGACTTTGAATCCCAATGCACCACAAGTGAGAGTCTTCAGATGTATTAATAATCCTGTCACTAGCATTACCAGAGGTTTTTACTCTGCTGATCTCAAACTGCAGATGCTGATATCCAAACATTCTGAGTTACTGATACAATTGTTTTTTACACTCATCAAATGTGTTTTTCATGTATGATTTACCAAGTTTGCACTAATGTTGACCAATCCCTATGGAGAGAGCAACATTTCATATACTGCTTAAATGTCCACATGAATAATCAGTCTAATATAATAATAATAATAATAATAATAATATAATAATAATCAGCACAGAATAGGCTTATTGTACAAGTCTGTTGTGTTTGTGTGCAACAGAAAACTCCTGTAAAGGACGGTGTGGAGAAAGCTTCAAAAGAGGCCGACTGTGTAGCTGCGACTCTGACTGCGTTAAGTACAATCAGTGTTGTCCAGATCACAAGATCCACTGTGATGCAGAAGGTGAGCCTCGTCCAACTAAGTCAGCATGATTGTGTGATTTGTGCATGTCAACCTTGACAGATTCCCTTTTCATTTTTACTGTAGCATCACTGTGATATTTACTGTCCTGATTAAGTTAAACATAGTCACACATCTTTGGTGTCTTCTTCTGACATTTGGTGGTCATTTGATGCATGACCAGCAAATACAGTCATGGCCATGTGACAGCATGGCTGCTTCTTAATGTTAGCTTCACTTTTCTTAGCACGTGTGCATGAATGGTGAAGTGCAAAGATGCCAGGATTATTCTGACATGGCATGTCCACCAGCATGTGGCGTAGCATGCAATGCATGCAGTAATCTGCACCGATGCATTGGGTTCAATTTGACAATATTTTCTGTCTTGGTTAATTACCACAGACGAAATCAGTGGAGCAGCCAGTGAAACTGCACCAGTGAAGACTAATTCATGCCATAATGTAAATGATAACAAACCCAAAGGTATATTTGACTTGGCTAAAAGGTTGATTTTTTCCCCTACATTTTCAGTAATTTAGGATTTGAGATATAATGTTTGTACAGGGTTAACTGTCTAACCTTTACTCATGAATATTCCCACAGAGCCAACTGTGAATGGAGCAACTGAACCTTCTACATTCAGCGAGGGAAACAGTGCAGGTGACTATGCTTTTTGATTTTACCAAGGAAAGCTACAAAACTTTATTTCACATCCTAAATAACTACGTAATTCCAGTGACAGAAACCAATGGTCATACAGTAATTTGTTTTAGATTACTTAAATCTGAGATCAACTCAGTGGATTTAATAAGACATATGTCGGGAGGATGGCAGGAAGATGTGTACCATTGACAGCCACACTGTGTTTCTGTTGCTGCGGTTCGCTTTGGGGGCCAAGTTTCACCAGAACAAGCCAAGAGCACAAGCCCCACTGGCCAAAAAAAACACAAGGAAGCAGTGTTGTCATGAGTGTGTAGGAGGGTTTACGGGCACAGGCTCAGTCACAAGAGAGGAAAGCACAAAATGAAGCCAAGAAAGGGTGACAGAACATTTTCTTGGAGGTTTTAATTGGACTGTTGGCTTGGAATAGTTTTGTGGGTGGAGATACTCTTGCATCCGTGTTACTTCTCTCTCAGGAAGAAGACATGTCGCAACATTTCCGTCTGGAATGTCACAGTCGGTGATGTGCATGCTCAAGAAAACAAATGAAGGAGAAGTACAGAAAGAACTGATTAAAAATAATGTGTTCACACTGCCAATTATGAACATCTATATTTGATTTTACCCACAGATGACCCTTTGATTCCACTGGTCAGTCCAACATCATATCCCAAAGATGATCTCACTGATGGTGAGCAATAATGTGCATGGATAATAAATCTAGCCAAACATTTCCCCCTGGTAAAGTTTCATGAGTGTGACATCCAGGTGTGCACCTCCTCATACTTTTCACATTTTTCTAGATGTGTACAGCCAGACATTTCCCAGTGAATTGGACCCATTGGACCCAGAGACAAGTCCGATCCCAGAGAGCACCAGTGGCTATGGATTGTCTACAGTTGACCTGTTGGATCAGATTTCTATTGAACCCACCCAGGATCCAGACACTCTGGAGCTAAGTACAGAGACGTTTACAGTCTTCTCTGAGACACAGACGACCCTCTCAGATAATGAACCAACACAGGCCGATAACAGCCCCTCCACCCTCGACCCTATCACTGAAGGAGCCCCCACGGAGAGCACAGGTATGTGATGTCAAGGGCAGGGAAAATAGATGGGTGGAATATTAAAGTGAGATGTAGTGACACCACCACCCATCTATTTACTGAAGGATGAACACTGCTTATTGGGTGTTTTAATAATGGTGGAAGAGAGCGCTGTCTAACCTATTAATATAAAGCTTGGCATATGATTCACATTTTTAAACAGCAAAATTATTTTTTTATTACAAGTTTTGAAAATTGTCTTTTCCTCCTCTCACTGCTCAAATCCTGACATTGAACTGTAAGGAGACAAAAATAATTATATTTATATTATCACAGTTTACCACTAACTCCCTGTCAATACCAGTTTTTTCCACCCTGGCTAACATCTTTATTTCTGCACTGTACAGTGATATTTTATAATTACGGCCGCAACTAACAATTATTTTCATTGTCGATTAATCTGTCACTTATTCTCTTGATTAACTGATTAGTTGTTTGGTTTATAAAATGTCAGGAAATCGTGAAAAATGTTGATCAGTGTTTCCAAAAGCCAAAGATGACATCATCGAATGTTTTGTTTTGTCCACAACCCAAAGATATTTAGTTTACTGTCATGGAGGAGTGAAAAAAAAAACCCAGAAAATATTCTCATTTAAGGAGCTGGAATCAGAGAATTTTGGCCTTTTTTCTTTAAAAAATTGCTCATCAATTATCAGACTAGTTGGTGATTGATTTAATGGTTGACAACTAATCAATTAATCATTGCAGCTCTACTTGCAACATTTTTCAATCTTTCAGTTTTAAATTATTCTCAATGTTTGTGTGGAAAATAAATATATTTCTAAAGAGGATGGTTATTTTCATACTTAACAAACCATTCACTATATAAAAGCATCTGTGTTTTCCACATTTCTCTACTCATTTATTCAGGTTTTTCTTCCACTTTGCCACCCGACTATTGACACTGTCTTTAATCTGATTATTTTTAGAAAATGCTTCTTACTATCGTTTAATAAATTTGTTCGTAATCAGTTTGTTTGTTCTCCTCCAGGTGCCAGTGATGCTACCAGCTCATCTGATGCAGGAACAGCTCTCCCTGAGTCCACAACATCAGCTGACCATGACTCCAGCCAGCCTAATCCAACCTTAGTACCCCAGACTGATTTTTCTCCTACAGCTAACACCCCCGAGCTGGAGACAGTGGGACAGGCAGAGGCAAAGCCTGAGGAAGAGATTTTGCCTGAGGATCCAACGGTAGCCTCCTTAAATGACCCAGAAGTCTCAACCCTGCACACCAGCACAGCCTCCGCAACCCCTGTGGCTCCAGTATCCACAGGACCCACTCAAGGCTCCTCAACAATGCTGGAAACGACACCCACCTCAGAGGCAACCACTCCAGTCCTGGCAGCCTCTGAAGATCCTTCCACCAGCGTTTCTCCAGCAGGGCCCAGGGACATGCCAGAGCTTGATGCCCTGACGACCAGTGCTCCCTCATCCACAGATGCAGTGCAGGATAACACAGCAGCTGATGTTACACAAGAAGTCACCACTGCTGAACCGCTAAATGTCACCCCAGACTCGACTAAATCTACACCATCTGAGGCCACCTCAAAACCCCAGAAGAAACCTGACCCATACAAGCCAATGCCAGCTAAGCCAACTCCAGCTAAACCCAGCTCCTCCAAACCTGAGACTAAACCTCTGGACGCCACACAATCTCTCAGTACAGACGATCCTAGAGATTTCCAAGCAGGTAAGAAATGTTCCTCTCATCGGCCCAACACAACATCCACAGGAAACAAATAACCTGCAAAGATAGATTTCAGTGCCAGTATTGAAATTTCTTTCTGTCAACTCTGATTTTATCTAATTCATTTTACACCAGTCTAACACTGTTGCAAAAATGGAGGCCTCTAGTTTCTGGTGCATATTTATTACAGCTCTCAGCCTACTTTATGAGCTCGGTTGTTTTGTCATTATGCCTCTGGGTGGACAGAGCTTCCTTCAAAGCCTGGCTATGGTATATTAAGTGACAGAGGTGGCTGTTTTCTCACACTGTAAATGAATCAAACGCGCCTTTGAAATTGGAAATAAAGCTCAGATACTTTAAAGAATGGAAAAAAGTCCTTATAGCTCCTGGAGCACAACATTACATTTGACAGCCAGTAACTCAGTGGGTGATTGCATGGCTCCTCTGTCTTACTGCCTGTTCATCCAAACAGATGGTTTTTCTTACAAATTGTGTCATTTTTCCCAGACGACAGCAACGATACAAATCTGTGTAGTGGGCGGCCGGTCAGTGGAGTCACTACACTGAGGAACGGCACAATGGTGGTTTTCAGAGGTGAGTGCCAGCCAGGCAGCCAGTCATCATTAGAGACAAGAATTGTATCATATGTTAAACCACATATCAGTTCATTATTAATATATAAGAGAGCAGTGGTGGGGAATACTTGGTTTTTTAATGCTGCTTTATGTACATCTACTACACTATATAACTTTTTTTTAGTTCACTACATTTATCTGACAAGCATAGTTACTAACTCCATTACAGAGTGATTTACATTTAAACAGCCTGAAGAGAAATATCATCAGATATTTCTCCTCTTTTATGTCCCATTAATCATCCCACAGTCTGTCAGACTGATCTCATGATCCTTTCTGAGGGCCCAGCCCCGGGGCTGGGAACCTCTGGAGTATATAAAGGACATATAAAGAAGCTAAAACTAGCTTCAGCTCAAGCAGCTACAACAATAAAATGCTACGCAGACACTGATGTATCTGCATTAGCAATCTAATAAGGTCAAAGGCAATTTTTCTGCACAATAAGTACTTTTACTTTTGATACTTTTAGTACATTTTGCTCAGTATCTGTATGTTTACAATTTTTAATGCAGGACTTTTACTTGTAGTGGGGTATTTTTACATTGTTGTATTAGTTCTTTAACTAAAGAACAGGATCTAAATACTTCTTCCACCACTGCAACAGTACAATGAGTACAGAGCTGAAAACAGAAATGATTGATAGAAAAGATGTTATATCTCTTTTATATTGCGGTAAACTTCAAAATTGCTCTGATTGTTATTCTTGATGTTGTGTGTAGGTGAACCACACTTATGTGGCAATGTTATTTTATTTTTCAGGGCACTACTTCTGGATTCTGGACAGAAACATGGTGCCTGGTCCGGCTCGTGGCATCACCCAGGTGTGGGGTGTCCCCTCTCCAATCGACACTGTGTTTACCCGCTGCAACTGCGAAGGCAAAACATACATCTTCAGGGTAAATTTTCTCGTCTGATCCAAAACCCATAAGCGTATTCTGCAAATTTGATTTCGAAGGATGTCATGGATGAAACCCTTTGCACTGTATCAAGATGCATTTTGCTGCTAAAAACTCAATCTCAGATTTCCTCTTGGTCACTTGTCCACTTCTGTGAAGTGCTGCACATGTCTGAGGTGTAATGTTTGGATGTTGTCTTTGCAGGGATCCCAGTACTGGAGGTTTGAAAATGACGTGTTGGACCCTAACTATCCAAAGGTCATTGCAACTGGATTTGATGGGCTACGGGGCCACATTACAGCTGCTCTGTCTGTGCCTCAGTACCAGACAAGGAGGGAGTCAGTTTACTTCTTCAAGAGAGGTGATGAAATGATGCTGCAGAGTCAAACTACTTCATACCTTTTCGTTTCTTTAATTGCTGTCCTGTTTTTTTTTTTTCATTCAGTGAAAAACAGAGTATATTAAATATTGTGTATATCATACTGATGTTCTGAATGAATACATTCTGAAATTAACTCTACTGATTCTTTCAGGGGGGGCTGTCCAGAAATATTCATACCAGTTTGGCACCAGTCCATCATGTAGCAGTGGCAGGAGAGTCCAGTACGCCGTTTACACAGTCCACAAACGAATGGTTCGACAAGCAGGTAATCCAAGGATTTAAAGTTCTTGCAGGACACAAATATACTGTAGTTGCATTATGTTAATCCATCCCAACTATGACGTAGATCTAGTTTGATCATCCTTTTTCCCCTAATTTGTGTCGTCCACGATGAGTGCACTGGGCGTTTCCTGGGCATTTTAAGAGATTCACTTAAACATGTTTTGGGTTACACCACATGTAGTTTTCTGGAAAAGTGAGTCATGCTTTTGTGGAGGTAAGAGGGTCAGCGAGGTCATCTTGTAAATAACTTGCTAGTGGAAATAAGTTGCCTGTGTTCCATTTCTGGGAACGCAACTGTTGAAGGGCTGTGATATTTAATGCCTTAAAACATTGCAGCTGAGGAATACAGGAACTATATAATCAATTCACTCATATTACTGATCTCTGTTGTTTCTAGTGTCTCTTCTAGGGCCAACCATCAACATCAGGACATCTTGGAGAGGTTTCCCTTCCACCATTACAGCTGCTGTGTCCGTCCCCAACAAGAGGGAACCAGAGGGATACAAATACTATGTCTTCTCAAGATGTAAGTCGGCACGTAACAGTCGTCATTTCTCTCCTTTGAACAGATGTAGGCAGTGGATTGTTTTATTTTCAGATATTTTCTGTAAAATCAATTAGTGCTAAGGATATTTGTTGGAAACAAAATATAGTTTAGGCGCTGTGTTCTGCACATCAAGGCACAAATTTAGTCATTAGATCATCAGTTAAAGAAGAAAGAAACTCCTGGCATTATTTTGGATTTGCTCCCCACACACCCTAATCACTGACATAACAGTTGAAGAGGTCTTTCAAGTATTAATTGTGGATCTTTTTCTTCACAATAACTACATTTAATTGGTCATCTTCAAAGGAAAACATCATTCACATGTCTGTCTGCACTAAGACTTTTGTTAGCCTCATTCACATCATGTCTGACATGCCTAACGAGGACCATGTGTATCTGGGTGTGTGTCAGGGTGGGGTGGGGAATTTGGCAGATGTAAAGGCCATTGAGGGTGTTGCCCATTCACCTAAAGCTCATATGGAGTAACCACAGTTAAGAGTTTCCATTTTAATGATGATAACGATCGTCTGAAGAATACTGTCACTCCTGTCTGTGTAAATCATTTTACGGTTTAGTCATCATGAGAGCTTTAACCGTCTAGTCGTTTATGTAATTCAAGAAAACACTCCAGCTCCTCAAATTCATGTCTTGCTGTAGCCAAAGCTGTCCAAGTTAATCTCTTTAAATCTCTGTTTATGCCAAATTCAAGTTCACCAAAATGGAAACTGGCACGTACATGGATAAAAAGCACATCATGAATACTATGCATAAATTAAAATACTTAATGAACCACTCTGTTTCTTCTGCAGCCAAATCCTACAATGTGAGGATGGATGGTAAACGTCCCGTCATTCCTGCTCCTACAGCCAACGCGTCACCTCAGAGCAACAACTTCTTCAAATGCCCCAACAAAGTGTGATGAAAGTTGTGTCTCATAAACAACGTTTTTTTCGTATAGTTTTTAAGTTTATTACATTCTTCATAAAAACACACCGCTTCAGCATGGACCGATTACAAAAAGGTACTTTACAAGTACAATTAAAGAAAAGCCAAACTAAAATAAAAACAACAGGCTTCAGAACAAGTGAACATTAACAAGGCTGAATGCAGAATTTTAACTTGCTGATTGGAAAATTTGTAATGTGTTTCTGGCGGGACTGACAAGATCTCCGGTTGCTGTTGTCAAAGTTTCTGTTTAGTGCTTCATCGGGCGAATCTTCTCCCATGCACACCCTGAGAAGGAAATCCCTGACCTGTTGAGACATTAAATATTTGTTCAAACAAAGCCTGGTATACTGGTGTAAAAATTATGTACAGTGGCTGTATAAAATGTGTCTTGACATGTTTAAGACTGTAATAACGTTTCCTCTGTTATTCTCATCGACATTAAACTGGATTACAATACACCCACATGTATTTATTGCCCTGACTGGTTATTAAATGAAATGAATGCTTTGCCGGGATTTGTGTGCACATCATGACTGTTCGGCAGTGATTTGTGAGCATATATACATGCTGTATGTAGCTGCCAAAAAATATGATGCACTGCAATTAATGTGCATTATGAGTAATAGAATAAAGAGACATTAAAACCAGTTTATGTTGATTTAGTGAGGTTTTTCAGGCATGCAACAACTTGCAAAAAATGTATCATTAAAGAACAAGAAAATCATATTTCATTATTCAAAACTGTTTTTATAACAAGTGGGAAACATCTACATACAGATGGAACTCTTTTAGGTCTGATTTACAATAAATATAGCCGTAACCTTTCAGAACTATGTGTGGAAGCCTGATGTTTATTGCAATCACACATTGCAAAACGCTCAAGTAAAGTCCCTGACTGGACTGGAACTATGGACGTTGTGGTTTGTGGTCAGCGCCCTGATTCCCCTGTGCCTCCTGAGCATCCCACATTCTGCTAATTTCAATATGAAAATAGAAACACTGTAAAACACTGCAATAAATAAGACTAGTGTTATACGACAAGCTGATCAACACTTCTTGACACCAAAGTATGGAGAGCATCTTCGACCGCACAATTGTTCTTTTTTTTTTTTTTTTCCCTGTTAAAGAGGGGTTTTTTGGGAGTTTTTCCTTGTCCACTGTGAGGGTCCAAGGACAGAGGGATGTTGTGTGCTGCAAAGCCCTCAGAGGCAAACTGTGATTTGTGATATTGGGCTTTATAATAAAAACTGAATTGAAATTGAAACTGTGGTGGTTGCTCTCTTAAAGAAACCTAAGTGTGCTGAACGCATTATTTTATCAGGAAGAAACAGGACATTACTCTGTGGGAGTAGCTTTTTTCTCTGTTGTTGATGTTTTTCTTTTTATTTTGTTTCCTTTTTTATTGCCTATGATCAATCATGATTCTCTTCTAATCCACTGGTTTTGGGCATCATTTTGTTCAACTACTCCTGCTGTCAGTCACAATAACTTGTCATGAGCAAATGTTTGTAATCCATTTATATGGCATAGGAGAGATTTTAATGCTTTTTATAAATGTTTTATTATTCCGCTCAGCTCTAGCACCTTGAAAACGCAGCATGGTCTAAATGAGCACAAAGCCACCATAGGCTTGGAACAGTTACCCGCTCATGATTATACAATATTAGCTCCATTACCACCCAATTTGTGTGTGTGCATTCATTTGTTACCTCCTCTCTTGATGCGGCCGCCGCGGTGTTCTGGCCAGCGTTGCAGCTGTCTGCTGGGTCCAGGTCTAGAGGGTTTAGGTGGAGCACTGCTTGTGTCTGAAAACAACAACACAGCAATCAGAAGTTAGCACTAATTAAGATACAAAGGAGATAAACTGTCAACCACAGCAGGGATATGCACAGTCATGTGGCTGCACTGTACCTGCAGAGCTGGAGGAAGGCTCTTGGCTGGTGGAGGGGAGGCTGGCCTTGTCAGACTGTTGGCTGGGCTCCTCCATATCTCCCTGTGAAACCACTGGATCGACTGACACTTCTGCACTGGGCCTGTGATAAACAGACCGACACATAACATGCATGTGATTAGATCAAATTCTAGTCATTAAGTCTTACAATCACAACATACACTTAATGATACACCTGTCAATTTGTACAGTCAGTAGAGTTATATATTTGATTCAGCTATTTATGTTTACAGTGCAGAGGGACACAGATTTTCAGTGAATAAAGAAAGGGTCACATTTTATATCAGCCTTGAAGCCAGGGAAGGCTTGCTGACTGCCAGACATCTGAATTTCAACAGCAGCCAAGAAAAGAGACACACAGCAGAGAGGAGTGAACCCCACCTATCAGTGTCTGGCTCCAGGAAGACGTCGTCTCTGTCCTCCCCTGTTCCAGCTCCTCCTGGTACAACCAGGCCTGGTGTGGACGTGCTCACCATGGGAACCGACTGGGAGGCATGCTCAGTGGTGTCAGACTGAGCCACCTCAGAGAAGATTGTTACTGGGAGAGAGGAACGTAAAAACAAAATACACTCACTGATTTTGTTGTAGGATAAGATAGCAATCCCACATCTGACAAATCTGACAACTTCCACAAAGGTTACTGACTATTTTTAGGGACTGTAAACTGTGTTGAGTATGTTGATGAAAAAGGTGCATCTACAGATAAACAGAACAGATCCCATCATATCAGACAAAGACAGATACCTGGTGCTGAAACTTGTGATGGTGTGGTGGGAACACTGCGTCCACCGGACTCCTCTTCATGAGTTGCAAGGAACAACGGGCTTTCATACATCCCAAGACCTGAAGACGAGAGACCAAAAAAAAAAAACAACTTTCAAAATCTATGAAAAATCACAGAACCTGTCTGTTGCAGTTAGCTAGTAAAATGGTAAATGCTGTTTTTACATAAACTGCAAACTCTGCCTGACATGTGGTGGTGGAGTACCTCCTTGTGAAGCGAGCTGTCCCAGGTCAGAGTGCGAGGAGGAGCTGGTCTGTGGCATGTCCTCGGGCAGACCAAACCGGAAGCGAGGCACACCGGCCACTTGGGGAGAACTAATAAACAACAAATGAACAAAAAAGTCATGCAGTGCCATAAGACAGCAGAGTGATAGCAGTTCACAGTGTTTAAGGCCCTTTCCCCCCTACTTTCTTCCTGTTTATATAAAAATATCTAAACCTTCAGTCAAGCCTCAGGCTCTGTAAAATTCAAAAGGTATATTTCCAGGAACATGAGAGATATGTATGACTTTTTTAAGTAATCTAATATCAATTAAAATACAGTAAAATAAAAACATTAAAAGCAATACACAAAGTATTAAGTAAAATCATGTTATTATACTATATTAACAGTGATTTTGTCACTACAAAAATATTGCAAAAGTTTCCTGGGCACTCTGACTTCCTTGTCTGTGTCCACGTGTGTCAGACTTACTGGATGGCCTGGTCAAAACCATCAGAGCGGTGTGGTACCACCAGGGTGGGAGTGCTGGGAACCATCCTGTCATCATCATCAAAGAAGTGCTGCTGCGGAGGGACAGATACCAGAAACGTGTTGAATACAAACACACACACACACACACACGTAAAAGTTTCACACTAACACTGGCATGAATAATGTCATGACGGTAAATTGTCTGATGTTATAGAGGACTTACAGAACTGCTTGGCACTCCAGGAGTGAGCTGAGGGACTCTGCCCACGGACTGACGACGAACAGGGATACGCTGTGAAGTTTTACAAAAGTAATTAGCAGAGATTAAGAACTACACACAGAGATAACATTAAATTATTACTGTAATAATGTGAAAAGCAAATCTGGAAAAAAAAGGAATGGATGTATTTGTGCCATAAAATGAGTCTGCTAAGATTTACACCTGAACCTGAGCAGGTGGTCCCAGTTCTGATGTTGGGGCGATGTTTAGGCGAGGGGGCAGCTGATGTGTTGGTCTCCGTGGTGACTGGGGCATCCGCGTACCAGAGCTTGTGATAGGCTGTTCTGTAGAGAAGGCCTCCATTGTACTGCCCTCAACTGAAACAGCAGAATTGCTCAAATAAACAGAAGTCAGTTTTATTTGAAATAAATACAATTGATCAATGGGTGGTTTAACACACTGAATTATTTATAGGCTCTAAATTTCAGAGTTTGACAATTTTTAAACCAATCAAATCATGTTTAAGGTCAAAAACAATCATTCGAAAACACACACTCACACAGAAACTATCAAAAATGAGAGAAAGTCAAAATGACTTGAGAGGAATGTGCACGTTCAACAAACTGTCAATATAAATGCAAAATGGGGGCGTCGGTGGCTTAGTGGTAGAGCAGGCGCCCCATTTACAAGGCTGTTGCCGCAGTGGCCCGGGTTCGACTCCAGCCTGTGGCCCTTTGCTGCATGTCTCTCCCTTTCTCTCTCCCCCCCCTTTCACACTTCACTATCCTATCAATTAAAGGCAAAAAATGCCCTAAAAATTATCTTTAGAAAACAAAAAAACAAAAATATAAATGTAAAATGAATCATTATATTTCTACCAAAGTGTAATGCATTTACTTGAGAAAACACATATTTGTCCTGTTTTTCAGGACAAATATGTGTTTCTCAGGGGGAAGTTGTCATGCCAAAAATTTATTTTTGTTTTTCTAAATTCAAGAGCAGAATTCTGGAGAATTTTGGAGTGGAATGAAATCAGTATTGGACGTTTTCTCACCATGGGCCCCTGACTGGAAGTTCTACATTGCAGACACCTGGCGATATGGAGCCAAATAATAACTTGAATCATTTGATAAAGCAACATTTATGTGCACTTTTGGAAATGACAGTTTCTTTTGGCTAACACGGACCACTCTTCCCTTCAGACAGACAACAACATATTACATCTTTCTCAGTCATCGTCAGGAGTCAGATAACTAATTGAATGGCGAGACAGTTTGTGAGAGCATGTGGAGAGTCTAAGGCGGATCTACGTATGTGCGTTTGACAGGGTTTCCTGGATCTTAC